CCTGCTGGGGGGCCCAGCACAGTGGATACACACCGCGGACTGAAATCAGACCTCGCCATCCCTGGGGGGCTGCGATATGTGAAACTGTCGCCACTTTCGAGGCCTGCTGGGGGGCCCAGCACAGTGGGCTTCCCGCGCGTCATTCTCCTGCTCTTCGTTCCCGACTCCCCATGTCCTCTTCGAGCCTGTAGTTGTCGCCCCTCGTTCTTGCATGGTTCCCCTGCGCATCATGCCATAGGCGCGTGCCCCAAGTAGAATACATATCAAACAACGGATCATGCAATTTGATTGTCCATGCAAGTTTCGGCCAACTCCTCGTTTCCCATGATGCAAATGGGTTGGGTACGTCACAGGGTAATTTTTCTGCGAAAATCCCTCTGTAGGGGGAAAGGCCCGACTTAAGCCTACCCCGCGATTCCTGAAGGGGGGGGCGGGGTTCGCTTCGTTCGGGAGCCCCCGAGCGAAGCGAACCCCACCCTCCCCCTCAGAAATCGTGGGGGGCAGGGGTGGGGTTCGCATCGGGCCCCCTCCAGGAGCCTCCGGAGTGGCCTCGCGGGCCCCTCGCCGAGCTGCGCGGGCCAGGCCCGGGGGCGACGCGACAGGGCGGGGGGGGGGCGGGGGCGCAGGAGGGCGAGCGACGGGGCGCGGGGGCGAGGTCGGGGGGGCCCGAGGATGACATCCGCGCCGCGCCCGCAGCCCTGCGAGCATGCCTGGCGCCTCTCTGGGCCTTCTGGCCAAAACCTGGAAGAAGGGCACGGGTGAGCGGCTCGGCGCAGGCCGAGGTCAGGAGTCTGCAATCCGTGTCCTCGAGCCCGAGATGGCGCGCCCTGTCAGCAGCTCGGATCACCTGGAGATGGTTGTCGGGCTCGTCGCAGTAAGGATGCGGACCCCGTTCAAGATGTTGAAACCACGCAGCAGGGGCTTGCCGCCCAGCGACCAAGCCATGGCCTCGCACAGGATCTGGGAGCAGTTGGGGTGGAACCTCCAATCAGCGAGTGGGGGTTGATCGGGGCCACGGGTGCTCTGGGCCAAACGTTTCAGGGACTTCTGAATGTCTGGCTCGGACGGAGGCGGCAAACCAGACAAGACCTCATTCGGCTTGACTCTGTCCAGGCAGCAGGCAACAACAGTTCCATGTAATTTTTCGCGAGCAAGCACCTCGCCCCAATGACGGCCAGGCTGGAGATCATTCCCTCTGGGCGCCCTGCTGGGGAAGCTTCTATCTAAGGGGGCCAGGGTTTGTCTCGGACCTGGAGGCTACGGATGCGCTTCCTGAGCCTCGCGCGCGTCGACTCGGGAGTCTCCTCTTGCAGCTGCTGGAGGGCGTCTGCCTGAGCATGGCGGAGCAGCGTGGCACGCGCAACGTCGAACGTCGAACGCAACGTGGCACGCGCAACGCTGTGGCTGGTTGAGCGTTCAGCGCTCGACCGCATCAATGACCTACCGCTGACTGCCGAGCGGGCGAGACCACCATGCGCGTTCAGCCAGTTCGACGCCTTGCCCCCGCTGGCCCGAGAGAGAGAGAGAGAGAGAGAAAGAAAGAGAGAGAAAGAGAGAGAGAGAGAGAGAGAGAGTGCGGCGTGCGATGGGCCGAGCGAGCGGGTCTCCAGCGCGTCCTCGACGCATGGCATTGCGAGCGAAACTGGCGGACTCGATCCCCATTTCGTTGCGGGGGCTAGACGGAGAGGCGGGGGCGAATGCAGCTTCATCTGTTTAGTAGAAGAATTTGTTCGCACTACTGCATGAACCCAACGCGTCGGGAAAAAACGCTCTCGATTGATTCCACGACCCCGAGGTCGAGCAGGCTTGCGCGGGGCGATGGCGGCGGCGACAACATAATGATCGGATGCCCTGGCCTGGCGCAAGAACTCCAGGCATCCGTGAATTCGAGCGCCTCAGCGCGCTTGGGTGATGCGCCATCCAGGCGCTGAAACAAACAATCTGCCCATTCGAAGGACGCCCCCCTGCGCAAAAACATGACGGGCGTGACGTTGCGTCTCGATTGCCGCGGGCTTCTGGAGAGGGACTTCCCGCAGGCCCATTTATCTGGGGGGAGCGGCAGAATGGTGTGATCGGCCAGCGAGTTTTCTTTCGGGGGGTCGCCAGGAAAATTAAAGTCGCCGCCGACGAAGATGAAGCCCTTGATGGGGGGAGGTCCATGGAGGTCTTCTCCATGATGGGGTTTCGCTGCGAAGCCGAAAGCCCGTGGCCATGACTGCTGGAAAAGGAAACCCACGAAGCAACGCTCGACCAGGAGGAGGAGGAGGAGGAGGAGGAGGAACATTCTGGACACGGCCCTGAACCAAAACGAACAGCTCGACCTGTGGCCTTCTAGCGCTGCTACGGATGAGCTGGAAATCTGGGTCAAAATGGCCGCGCCGCCAGCGGCATGCGCGCCGGCCTCGAGGAACAAGATAGAGGCGATCACGGGGAGCTGGGGGTGGATCAAGGGGCCCTGCGACACACAAATAAATACACACAAATAAAAGGATTCCACATACTTTCCTATATTTTCTGGGTGTTTGTCTTCCCCCCCACGTCCCATATTCTCCCATATTTTCGGGGGAATCGACGATTCGTTGTGTCTGTGTGTTTTTCCCTCCTGAATGGAATTGGGGGCCTTCTGAGCTCGGTCTCGGCCCCGCGGGTCGCAGGGCGGGCCTCTTCCTGTAGTGGAAAGGGGGGGGGGGCTTCGAGCTCGGTGGCAGGGGGGGCCTTTTCCTCGAGCCCCAAAACTCGTTCCCTTGCCCAGACGCTTCTGGGGGGAGCTGACTGTCCAGCCCCGAAATGGTTATACAGCATGAAATATAGCTTGCCCAGTCCAAATCCCTAGAAACATCGACTGAGGTGAGGAGCCGAATTCTAGGCACCGACGCTTTCTCCAGCCCCGCAATGAAACTCGCACAGGAAAGCGGGTCCTGGTGCATGCGGGACCCTGGCGCGTACATCTTTCGTTGTTTGTCCGGGGAAGCGGGGGAAAAAGGATACGCCGCTCCACCCTGACGTCGTCCCCAACCCTCCAAAAGTCATGTGATGGAAAGCAGCCCGCCACTGGTCATGTATGTGCCTCCGCTTCCGAAAAGGAGCGGGGGCGCTGCCGTTCCATCCGCAACCACTGTGCAGCTCCGGCCGACGGCGCGACCCCCTCGGGCTGCAAGATGGCGGCAACGTCGAGGCTGGGGAGGGCGAGGTTGGCGTCGGCGATCTCGAAGGCGGGCTTGGAGCCGACCCCAGGGGAAAGAGTGACGCGGAACAGAAGCGTCGGCATACATGAAACCTCGCCGTGCTGCTCGATGACGAGGAAACTTGCCGGGGGATAGAGACGCACCAGAACAGCTGACCCTCTTCACGAGGATCTCGCGCTGCACCCGCATCGAGGACTTGCCTATAGATACATACAACTCCGAGAGGCGTTCGACACAGCATGAGCACGGAACCGCTGCCACTCCTGCGCGCTGATCCTGAAAACCACCCTGAAAACACCTGCCTGGCTGCGTAGGACGGGCTACCCTTGACAGGGGGCAAACAGGCCTACTTCGCTTTTGACCACCCTCGTTTCCAAGAGATACCAAGCGATGCCAAACTACGGCCTGCACTGGTTAGGCCGCTTGACGAGGAGGCGCGTGGTATGACTTGGTTTTGCCTGGAAGCGAAAGCGGGGTAGGTCATTCACGCTCTGATTTGATCCCGACCGTGAGCCTCCCGGTCGCTGGGTCGATCTCCACAGGAACAGCAGATAACGTCATGCTACTCTTCTCGAGGGCCAGGACCATCATCTCCTTCGTGACTGCTTCGCGGGTGAACACAGCCTGGGATCGGAGGATGGACGCCAACACGCCAACTTCACGATCGAATGTGTTTTCCTCATCTGTGGGTATCTGGGATTTGTTTTGCATGATGCCCAGAATTTACTCTAGTTGCTCGACATTTTCTTCAAGAACCTGAGCTCGAGACTCCGTGGTGCCTTGGATGTTTCTCCATGCCGGTGAGGCGGCTCTCACCTTGCTCGCTGTGAGCGGTGCAGGAGGTGTGCGCCGTCGTAGCCATGCCGCCCACGGGTTGCTGCAACGAGGTGCGAGGTGATGGAGGCGAGGAGCTGTTTTTTTCGTCGATGCAGGATGTGAGATCGTGTTCCTCGATGGGTTTCTGAAACTCGTCATGTGGGGAACGACTGCGTTCACCACGGAGGAGGAGGAGGAGGAGGAGGAGGAGGAGAAGGAGGTCTGTCGGGAAGGCCGGCGCCGCCACCACGACGGCGAGGACGCCCAGGCGTACGGACGGGTACTGCCAATGGTCCCGCGCGGCGTGGGCGGTGGCTGGAACGGGAAGGTTTGGCGAGGCGTCGAAAAAGCTGCCGGGAGAGAAGCAGGGATTAGCGTCGCCGATTCTAGGGGAACGAAGAATGACATAAACATGAAAACTCGGAGGTCCGCGCGGATTTCTAGGATCCGCGCTGGACCCCCCTGGCGGCGCCTCCGGCGCCGCCCCTGGGGCGCTCTGCGCGCCAGCGAGGGGGGTCCAGCGCGGATCCGAGAAATCCAGGCGGACCTCCGAGTTTTTTTTGTATGTTGATGTCATTCTTCGTTCCCCTCGATTCGGCTCCATCGACCATCGTTCGCGAGCTACTCTGGTTGGACAGAAAAGGGAACGCAGCCAAAGAGGAGAGAGAGGCGCCGGGGCCGACCCACAGCAGAAGCCCTTCGAGCCTACCCCCTGGCCGTCACCAAGTTGAAGCCCCCCAGGGCCCCGAGACTGCAGCTTGAGCCAAAGTGGCTGCGGGCCCCCCCTTCTTCCTCCTCGTCCTCCTCCTCCTCCTCCTCCTCGTCCTCGTCCTCCTCCTCCTCCTCCTACTGCTTCCTTCCTTACTTCCTTCCCTCCTCCTCTCCCTCCCCCTCACCCTCCAGTCCTCCTCCTTCTCCTCCTCCTCCTCCTTCTCCTCCTCCTCCTCCTCCTCCTCGTCCCCACTTCCTCTCCTTATTGCCGACGCCCCCTTGCGAATCCTGCTCCTCCTGTGGGTCGGCTGGCCCCACCACGCTGCACCGCAGCATCGCCTGGCCCATCCGCTCGAAGAGTACGCCTGAGGGCGGCCAGGGTCGCCGTGACATGCAATGACAGCGTGCCTCGCCCCCCTTCCTGGGGGAGGGGAACGCGAATGGGAGGGGGGGGAGGGAAATGCTGCTACGACGGTGCTTAAGATTGCTTGATGGAAGCGGTGGAGCCACATGGGCCCCCAGGCCTCCCGAGGCCTGGTGCGGCAAAGGCTGGCCCTGCTCGAAACAAGAAATTACCCACTTACGGCTTTTGCGCGGGGTGCTCTGCTGGGGGAGAGGTGGCCGGGGTGGCTCTGCCTCGGAAGGGGGGTGGGGTGTGGGGGCGCCTGTGCTCCGTTTTCTGGGCGGGGCTGGGGCATGCAAAAATCCGACACACCTCCACCCCAAGAGCCAGAGAATTCAAACTGGCCGCCATATATTCCCTGGACGGCTCGAGATGCACCCAGGATGGACCAGAAAGCCGTCAAACAAAGCCCGAAGAGGCCCAACTCATGGATTGTATGCATGCTTCTGAAGGATTTGGGCGGCACTGGCCGGAGGCCACTACAAGAACCCACGTACGGTTTTTGCGCGGGGTTGAAACAAAAATGCGGGAGAGGGATCGGGAGGATTCTGGGGGGGAAACACGAGCGGGGGATGGGGGAGCAGGACAGAGGATGGGGATGAGCAGGAGCGGGAGGAGGAGGAGAAGGAGGGGGAGGAGGAGGAGGAGGAGAAGGACGAGGAGGAGGAGGAGGAGGATGACGAGGAGGAGGAGGAGGAGGAGGGGGAGGTGGAAAAGGGAGCAGGATGTGGGTGGGCTGGAAATGGGTGGACAGAAAAACGAAAAGGAGGAGGAGGAGGAAAAGGAGGAGGAGGAGGATAGAGGTGAAGAGAGCGGAAAAGGGATACTGATGCTGCTGGTGATGACGACGATGGTGATAATGATACAGAAACGATGATGGTGAGGAGGAGGAGGAGGAGGAGGAGGGTGGTGATGATGATGATGATGATGATGATGACGATGCTGATGCTGATGATGATGCTGGCAAGGAAGATACTAAGGACGGTGATGACACAAGTGGAATGGAGCGAAGTTGGGTAGGGCGGACAAAGCAAAGTCCACCTGCCGACACTGCGGCGGCACGTAGGCTTAGTCGTCTACGAGTGGCCACGACTCAGTGGCCTTGGCCTAACGCTTAGCGCGCTTGCATTTTTCGGCCCACTCAACCGCAGACCCGGGCGAAACAAAACCATGCAGGCGCGCAACTCGGGCCAGGTCCAGGACGGGGACCGAAACCCCGCACTGGTGGAAACTGGTGCGGCCCCTGGTACCACCGGCAACTGGACCCACAGGGGGTCGGCCACCGGGCCAGACGAGACGGACCCAACCGACGAAGACCCAACCCCAAGCTGAGCCCCATCAGCTCCCCTTGCAGCCGCAGAGTATCATACTCCCCAGGGCCTCTAAACGCAGACGGCCTGGGAAGAGGAGCAGGGGCTGAGGGGTGGAGGAACCGACGCAGACAGGACCTCTGAGACTTGAGCCCTGGGTGCCGAGGCCCCAGACGGCCTGCCAGGCACGACCTCCAGATCCAGACGGCTCGGGCTCGGGCCCCTTCGGCGGTGGGGCGGGGACGCTGACTTCCATCCTAAAAGCTCTCGGGTCTGGAGGGCTGCCTCTGGGCGCACTGCATCGGGATCATCGGTGGCATTTTCAATGTCCAGGACGACGCCCGAGGTGCCTACCACACCTTCAGTGTCCCAGGCCTCGCGGTCTCCTATCTAGGCATGGACAAGGCCAATCCACCGCACAAGCTTGCAAGCCATGTCCTCCCACGCTTCAATGAAGATGACCCTCTTGGGTGGGGTCTTCCAGAGCAGGGCCCCCCTCGTGGCCCAGCGGTTCGCCAGATCCTCGCCACACCTGCATCAAGTGCAGAAACAAAAAAGGCATCGCTGGACGCTCGAGCGTGTGCTTTTACATGTTTCACTGTCGCACTGCTGCCATGCTTCTGCCAACTGCCCTCCCGAAAATGGCGATTGGGATTCAGAAGGCCGAGGGCTGTGGAGACGCTCGTCGCGCACGCGATCGCGCCAGCACAATCTGGAAAAACCGTGAACGCTCCATCGGTGGCAGGGTCCACTGAGAATCTCGCCAGCATACAAAACGCGAGGCCCTCCGCATCTCTGGAGGACTGGGCGAGGGACCAAGTCAGAGGCACAGCGCCATACATCCCGCAACGAAGCGCGCCGTCGTCATTGATGCAGATCGCTGACCATCCAGCACGGCGAGGCCCGCCATGCCGGGTGACAAGGGCAGACCCGGCCACGAAAAAACATCGCCTTCGAACATCCAGGCACGCACCCCACGAATCGCATCTGATCCTCCTCAGGGGTATCAGCTCCTGGAAAGCGTGCACAGGCGAGGGCAACAGGCCTCGCGCGATGAGCTCAGCGCACTGCTCACCTTCACTCTGAACAACCCTGGCTGCCTCAAGCAGCTCAGCTCAGGCAGACAAAATTCTCGGCGAGGAAATTCCGTTGCGGGGCAGCCAAAACACCTGTGCCACAAGGTGCCTCGGGACCCGCATCTCGCGCAGAAAGGGTGCGCAGCCATGCCTTTCGCATGCAACCTTGCTTGGCTCAAATGCGCCCCGCAGTTGGCAAATATGAAAGCGTTATTGTTCCTCTTTGTCCACAGCTCTGAAGAACGAGATGACACGGCCAGCGCAGGCCCCCATTGGACCTCAGACACCCAAGGGCTCCGAAGTCCCCTCAGAACTGTGGCATCAGAGGCAGCAGCCGCTGCCGAACGGACGGCCTGGCATGCCGCTCCCGGCAAAAGCATAAACATTCAAGTCGATCCCGCGCTGGCAACGAGCGAACAGGCAATCTTGCTTGACAAGGTGGCAGCCTGCACGGGCAAATCTGAACACCGCGGCCTGGGCTGGGTCAGTGCACCGATTCCAAGGCCGCCCCACGCTCAGCAGCTGCAGCGCATCCGCGTGAACCGTGCCCAGGACGTCCTGCTGCAGGGGCCCGTCTCGAACTCCGATGGCCCATGCCTTGGCAACCTTCACCCCGTTCACCACGAACGGGCCCCTGTAGATCGCTCGCTGCATGGTTCCCGCCCTGAAGGCGAGGCGCGTCCCAGCCGCCAGTCTGCCTTCGGAGCGGAGCGCATGCGCCCGCAGCCCATTCAGCTTGCCGCCAGCGATCCTCGTGACGGCGGAGCCCCAGCCCGCCGAGGCGCATAGCGATCCTCTATGCAGGTGGCATGCCTTAGCCCCTGCCGACTGCAGCAGGACTTGGCCAGCCGCTTGTCCTGCTCTGGCACGCGGCGCCTGCTGCCATCATTGCCGTCGCCACCGAGGCACCTCAGGCCTGTGTGCCCGGTCAGCCCCTGCTTGGCCCACTGCCTGTCCAACTCCTGGGCCAGCGCAGCGTCCGTGGCCATCCAGTGCGTCTTGCTCCAGTTGATCTTGAGGCGTCCCTCCTGTAGTCTGAAGTCGGGCCTGTCCCCTTGCAGGAGGATTTTCGACGAAAAAATAATCAGAAACTATTCCGAAATTTTCAAACAAAATATTCAACAATAGTCCCCATAACATTGTTTGACCATTCTTGAGTATCCAACCATGTAGAGGGACAGGCCCGACTCAATTACCGAAACCGGCGGACCTGGACCCGCAACAAAAACGGCCGCGACACACCCTCGCGAACTGAAAACGGCCAAGTCCTTCATCGACGTGTCAGCGTAGGAGGCCAGTCCACCCTACAAGGGGAGATTCGATGATTCGTTGTTTAAACTCAAGAATATACCAACATGGTCAAACATACGCAAACAATACCCAGACTATGTTTTGACTACTTTTGAATATTCCCCTCTGTAGAGGGGCAGGCCCGATTGAACTGCAGTCGCAGGAGGAGGTCGTGGGCGGCCTGCCGCAGCTGGAGCCCTACCAAGCGCGCGCCGTGCCGCCTGCCTGGAGGAGGCAAGCCGTCACCCAGGCTCTGCGCTGGTAAGGACACTGGCGACGAAGCTGGCGGCGAGGAGGAGGAGGAGGAGGAGGAGGAGGAAAAAACGGTCTTCCTCGCCCTGCCAGCGTGGAGGAGGAGGAGGAGGAGGAGGAGAGATGAGATGAGCAGGAGGAGAGGGAGGAAGAGAACGGAGACGGACGCGGAGGAGGAGAAGGAGGAGAGATGAGATGATCACGAGGAGGGAGGAATGAGAACGGAGACGGATGCGAAGGGGGAGGCGGATGAGGTGGTCGGAAGGAGAGGAGGAGGAGGAGGAGGAGGAGGGAGGAGGAGGAGGAGGAGGAGGAGGAGGAGGAGGAGGAGGAGAGATGAGATGAGCAAGAGAAGAGGGAGGAATGAACACGAAGACGGATGCGGAGAGGCGGATGGGTGGTGACGATGTGGAGAGGAAGAGGAGGAGGAAGAGGAAGAGGAGGAGGAGAGGAGGAAGAGAGGAGAGATGAGATGAGCAGGAGGTGGAGGAGGGAGGAATGAGAACGGAGACGGCTGCGGGGGGAGGCGAATGAGGTGGTGGGGGAGAGGGGAGGAGGAGGAGGAGGGGGAGGAGGAGGAGGAGGAGGAGGAGGAGGAGGAGGAGCGCAGAGGAGTAGGAGGGAGAGTGAGATGAGCAGGAGGAGCGGGAGGAAGAGAACGGAGAAACGGATGCGAAAGAGGGAGGCGGAGGATGAGGTGGGCTGCATAGGAGAGGAGGAGGAGGAGGGAGGAGGAGGAGGAGGAGGAGGAGGAGGAGGAGG